GCGGCGATTCGTTGTATTGAAGACTCATATCTTTGAACACTATTTCTCCCATTTGTGGCCAATCTTTGGGTGGTTTCCGATCGGGAGTTGACTCGAGCTCTGCCTCGGGTTTAATGGCTGTGTATTCGAGCACTCGCTCGACAGAAGTCATATAAGACTCAGTATCGGCCGAACATTTGATAGCATATTGAATTAAACCCGTCAGCGATAATGCTTTAACAAGATAAAACTTTAAATAAAAACAATTAATAAAACATATTCTTCATACCTGAAGTTAACAAAAGTCCAGCATTTCCTCCAGGAATACCTTTTAAACATTAAAACATAATAGAATTGACATAAAATTCAGTACATCTAAACATACTGTTAGTATTTGTCATAATATAAGCGATAACAGCGCTGACATATACTATGCAAATGGTGTCCATTAAGACCCCGAGTGCTCGAGCGGTGCAAATAAATAGGAAGAAAGTAGAGGTGTTGTCGTTTTGGTGGACTTCAAACTGACGCTCAAACATATGCTGTGCGCCAAACGCACGGATCGATGTCAGCCCACACAGCGTTGTGTTCACGTGAGAGTACACCGGACTCCGGGCTATAAGTTTAGGAATAAATATTAATTCTTTAATCAATTTACAAAATATTACTCAATACTCACACAACCCTTCCATACGCTTTATATCTCTCGCGGCTTTTATATAGAAATAACGGCACATAAACACTAATATCAACAAAAGTATTGCCGGAAATATCAGAAACCAACTGACGATTGCATTCAATATAAGGCTACTTATAATAAAACATGTGTTCTGTTGAAGAATAACAATCAATATTATAATTGAATCAATTATTAAAATACTTACAATTATAAAATCAAAAGCAATCGATGGCAACAATTCGTCGACAATTCCCGTGTCTTTTGAAAATCTGTTTAGAATTCGTCCTAAAAATTATGATTAAATAAATTAATTTATTAATCATTAAAATGATAACAAATGTATTAATAGTGTTACCAATGGGTGAACTCTCGAACAGATGTATCGGTGATCGCAATAATGCATAGAATATTCGGTTATAGAGATTAACCGAAGATCTCATACACATTATGTAGAAACAAATGGTAGACAACAGGGCCGACACAAACAGACCAATGATTAAACTAGTGTAAACTATTATATTGAATGTTTGATCCACTTTATCAGACATTTGGTTTGTCCTTTTAAAATAATTAAAAGTAATTAAATTAAAAATATTCACATTATTATTAATAGTAATAAAAACTTACCATAAGCTCAACCAATAATCACTTCCCTGATAGAGAACTTGCGAAGCGATGATAAACAAAATGGTAAGTGTTATGAGTAGAGGTCCGGCGCCGGCCTTAATGTAATCCTTATAAACAGTGGACTCAACGGATCCAATCATTTTCAGTTCGGCCTTCACTTCCTGTTCGTCCACTTCTATCGGTTCCCTAACGTCCGTCACTTCCGATCCCTCACTAAGGGATGAGACCATCGATGGTGTGAATGAAGTGCTTCTCTTCATAGCTCTTTTAGCATTTGGTCCATCGGTTTGTCTCTGATATGACATGAGATCAATGCCGCGCTCTTTGAGCTGAGTGTAGGACCCGATGGCCACACACTCGCCGTCGTTGAGCACAAGTATTTGATGCGCGTCTTTGAGAAACTGGATTTGATGGGTCACTAAAATCCTTGTCTTGTTTTTCAGGTACTCAACACAACATCTAATAAATTGGAAACACATTAAACATTATGTAAAGTAATTAACATAATTATATTATATACTTCTGGAACAGATGTTTAGCCACATGTGTGTCGACAGCACTCAAGGGGTCGTCTAAGAGGTAGATGTCTGCCGAGTGGTACAGAGCCCGGGCCAGACTTATGCGGGCCTTTTGGCCCCCACTTAACGAAACTCCTCTCTCGCCGACTAGAGTTTGGTCGCCGTATGGGAAGAGTTTGAAATCCCGGTCCAAAGCGCACGCTTTCACCACTCGATTGTATTTCTCTTCATTATATTGAGAGCCAAACAGAATATTCTGTCGAACACTCGCTATGAAAGCCCACGACTCCTG